TTATTGCCCCCACCCCTGCTCGCGCACACGTGCGCGCGCGCGCGAGCGCGCACACACACACACACACACACACACACACACACACACACACACACACACGCTAGAAGAGGTTAAAGCAGGAGGGTGTGAATTCAAGGCCAGTTACACAGCAAGATCTTTTCTCAAACAAACAAACACTGATTAAAAAGATTGATTTGAAAATGAATGAATGTCTTCTACCCATTCCTGGGAAGAACAATCTAATTATGCAGTTTAGCCACTTATCACCTCTATTTACTCTCTAGCCCATAGCAATATCATTTCTTCTCTTGCCACTCCACTAAAATTGTTGCCTCAGAGGTCATGAGAGACCTAATTATCAAATGTAAAGGAATTGTCTCAGTCTTTTGGGAATAAAAAGCATGAGTTGTAGAGAGACCCCTAACTTAAATTTATTCTCATCTCCTGCTTGCAAATCACATGAACTTGGTCAAGTAACACAGTATAATCCTCTCAGTATTCTAATGCGGGGTTTCTGAGAGCAATTTGCCAGGGTTGTTGGGAACATCACACAGGGCTTTGAGCCTGAAACACTTCTTTCTCATTGTGTCTGGCTTACTGTAGCCAGGCACGCAATGTTGATTCCTTACTTTACTTGACTTCCAAGTTGTGGTTCATTCTTGCTTTTTTTTTCTCCCATTCTGTATCTCTGAAGAAATTTCCACACAGGTCCCATTTTCCTCACTCAGCTCCTCTCATTCCATCTATTTCCGTGCACTGTTTCAGATTTTCACCCATATTTTTGCCTGAACTGTTTTTTTTTCAAGACAAAGTCTCACTCTGTAGCTCAAGAACTCAGAACAATTCTTCCTTAGCCTTCTGAGTTCTATGATCATAGGGGTTCACCTCCATGCCCTGCTCCCTGAATCTTAACTGTGAAATCAGAGCACTGCATATACTTGTAAAAATTAGACTGAATGGAAGATCAACACAAATAGTCCTATTTTCTAATGAGGGGATGATATACGTTATCAGACACAATAGAGGCTGGGGTAACAGAATGCTTCCTAAGTGTCAAGATCTCTTCTAAGTGGTTGCTGTGGTTCTAGAGTACATAAGCATGACAGGGGAAAGCTGCCAGTCAAGACCTTGAGTACACAGATGGGAAATGGCCACATCCAACCTGATAGTGAGTGGCAGAAAGAGGCCCCACTAGCACGAGTGGCATCAGTGCTCCAGGGGGAATGTTCTGTGTTGCCTCTGAGAAATGCAACTGTATTACCTAGAGATGGCATGACCAGCCAAGGGGGAGATGGGGTGACCTTAGGAAGTTGTTGTCAGCCCTGGTTTGCACAGAGATTGCCCTTGCAAGACTTAAGAGACAAGAGGGGTGGCATTTGTCTGTACTTTGATATTACAGTGTCACAGAGAAGGGCAGCCAAATGTTATGAAAATGTCCTCTGAGGAGCTAGGAAACTGGAGGGTTTATCTGGTGGCTGTCCTCCCGCGATGACCAGGTGACGTTAGAGATCACCCGAGCTCCTGTGAAGGCTGATGGAAGCAAGCCTCTGCCAAATTTGTTCATTGCCCAAGGCTGAGAGCACTCCGCAGGCTCTGTTCTCAGGAGGAGACTCTCCATCAAGGTTCCCCAGCACTTGGTGGCTGCTCAGCTGTGGTTCGCTTAGATTGTATTTAGCAAGAGCCGGCTTCATACTTCTACTCAGCTTTCCCAGACACACAAGTTTAGCATGGCTCTTTCTGACTTAAACAAACAAACAAACAAACAGAAAGCGTGAGTGCTTGTAGATTTGCTGTGCACGTGGCTGTCGGAAGACAGCTTGCAGGAGGCAGTTCTCTCCTACCATGTAGGTCCCAGGGTCGGAGCCTGGTCAGGTTGGCTGGCATGCAGCTACACACTGAACCGTCTCATCAGCTCTCAGGCTGCCTAAGCGTTTAGCTCCACTAAAGCGTGGGGGTGTGAAGGGGCAGTTCAGAAACTAGAAGACACATAGGAAAGGCAGAATTCGGTGACTCTCTCCATTCGTTTCTCTTATCCCCTTACTCTCTATGCTTTGGTCCCTGCCTCACTGTTAGCCTAGCCATTGGTCTCTGTGTTTCTAGTTTTCTGTGCAAGGTGGTGAGGCAGTTTGTGGACAGCAGGAAGGTCAGCCATCAGAATGCCTGCAGCCAAGGACGGTCATGGAGAGCAGTTTTCGTTTGGGGCATACGCCAAATCATTTCACTCAATTCTCGAGATAGGATGTTTCTATTTAGCTCAGACTGGACCTGAATTTTGAATCCTCCTGCCTCAGCCTCCCCAGTGTAGAGATTACAGGAACGAGCCAAGTGCCTGCCAAATTGCTTTTGTTTTAAAGTGGAAGACCTGAGCTTTAGATCCTCACACTGGTAGGATGGATATGGGCCTTTAAAAGATAATCTGTTTTCTTCCATGGCCTCTAACTAGGCTTCAGTTACCTTTTAAAGGTCTAAGGAGAAAGCCACTCCTAACTGGGCTTGGCATGCATTCCAGTCGTTAACCGGCCTTAACCTTGGGTAAATGTTTGTCACTGAACATGAATCCCCCATACTGCCCTTTGCATGAAGTATTCAGTGATTTGAGAGAGAGAGAGAGAGAGAGAGAGAGAGAGAGAGAGAGAGAGAGAGAGAGAGACTAGAGGGGAATAGCTGCCCACTGCCGTTGCAGCATCTGCTACGTTTCTGGCCACCTTTCCAGCTTTCCTGCAAGCCACAACTCCATCCTGGTCTGCTCTTGCCCATGCACTTGGCGAACGCTGTGTGGAGCACAGTCTCTGTCCATTGGGTTGGTGCATGACTGCACGTTTACACAGCATGCTCATCTAAGTGTGTACTCAGGGAACATCTAGCCTCAAAGCTGTCAGTTAAGTTTTCTGGACAATGGACTATGCCTTTGCAGGTCTCCAGAAGTAATAGACAGGTGCTGGGTGTCTTGTGTCGACAGGAAAGGAGAGCCTGCACAGCTGAGAATAAACAACAGCCACTTGGTAATATGAGACCCATCCATTTAAAGTTGGAGGCCTAGATGTGGGGTTGGAGGTTGGGGGTTGGGACATTCTGGACACCACCTGTCTGCAACAACCCCCCCCCCAGCACACACAAAGATGAGGTCAGGTTCCCTGAGAATTGAGGTGGTATTTAGAGCCAATAGGAGAGACGAGAAACTCGGGGGAGTGTGCAAGTCTGAAAGGGGGTTGTGGGTACTTTTTGGTCATGATACCCTCCATCAGCTGCTTTAGGAAAGTGCTCTCCCCCAAGACTGGTGCTTCTTTTTGCCTACTTGTAAAACAGTTGTTGGAACTGAACAGTTAGAGTCTGGAACTACCAGGACACTGGTTTCCTGAGTTGATGCCCATTAAATGATTTTGCCGGCCTCTACTTTGGTTTCCGAAGGCCTGGTTCTGTCCTTGCCATATTAGTCATCGTCATTCATGGGAGTCCTTGGATACGTTTCTGTAGGCTGCCCCACTTCCATTATTGCAAGAAGAGGGTAGGAACTTCTGTTACGTTAGTCTTAAGGTCACTAGGAAGATGGAATGTGATGTATGAGAACCTTTTTACAAAGTCTAAAGGTCACCCACAAATAAAAAGCATATTGGAAAGGTTCAATGGAAGAAGTATCTGGCTCTTTCTCGGTGAGCTTTGAGAGGACAACTGCTGACAGTTGCAACTATCTGTGTTCCAAAGCAAACAGAGACAGTTGCAGTGGCTGGGGGTGTGGGGTCTGGTTTTCTTTTTGCTAGTTTGTTTTGTTGTAATAAGGTCATTCTAGCTCAGGATGGCCTCAAACTCACTTTGTAGATGAGGATGAAATTGAACTTCTAACTTTGCCTGGGGATTCTATGGGTGAAAAGGATAAGGAATGAAGAGGCTGCAGGTGGAAGCTGAGTGGAGGACAAGTTCAGGGACAAGCGATGCTTTGGGTATCTGCTTCCTCGAAAGTGACACCCTTTAGATTTGGTCTGGCAAAGGTTTTCCCTCAGGTCAGGTAAAACACAAACAATTATTCTCAACCACTACTGTGTCCAGAGCTTAACTGAAACCTCAGAGGATTTTAGGTCCAGACTCTCCTGTGGGACACCTGGCTGAAGTACATGGGAGGAAGAAGCTGGTGGCTCTTCTTCATCCTGAGAGCTATGTATTTATATTCAGAAGGCCTATGGCGTGCGTGCGTGCGTGCGTGCGTGCGTGCGTGTGTGTGTGTGTGTGTGTGTGTGTGTGTGTGTGTGTGTGTGTATGGTACCCTTTCTTCAAATTATCTGTGCAATTTTTTGGCCTCTAAATGAATGGTAGTGCTCTGCTTCTCTTAAGTGCGGAGACTCTGCTCTCAAGATATCAACAGTCCATCTAACGGGTAGGTTCTTTGAATTGGGAAGTTTTCAGATCCTTTACAAAGTGTTCCTCCATGGAGGAGATCCAAGACAGCGAACAAACTATGTAGATCCTTGGTTGACTCCTTAAAGTGGCAGCCCAGGCTCCTGCTCTGGCTTTCCTGCTCTTTGCCAGGCCTGACACCTGATGGAAAGGAAGGGATTTCTTCTTCCTCTATCATGAGCAGGAGTCAAAATAGAGTGATACCAAAGCATGCCCGTGTGAGGCAGCAGCCGGATGTGCAGGGTCAGAAAAGGGACTGATACTCCGGAATCACCAACAGATGGACCCAGCCTTGGCTATTCAGCCAAGATGCACTTCCTTTTTTTTTTTTTTTTTACAGCCTCAAGGAGGTTGTGTAATGTCAGGATGTCTCAAGCTCCCCCCCTCCATGTGTCATTGCAGGACACGACGGTCTGACATGTGGATAGCTGTTACCTAAGATGTCTTACTGACCTGTAGGGATATAGTCTATTCTGCAGTGAATTCTTATGACCTGTAGGGATATAGTCTATTCTGCAGTGAATTCTTATGACCTTTAGGGATGTGATTTTTATTCCCCCAAAGGGAAACTGGACCAACAAATGGCAGCTAAGAGAATGGGTCAAATTGCAGACCTTGCAGTGGGGTCTTTATTGTTCCTTATGGTCTGCCACTGAAGAGGCAAATTCCTTGCTTCGGGGTGGGGTCATTAAGTGTTAAGCCCCAGCAGGTTGGGTTCCCTCCAACAAAGGACGGCTTCCCAGAGCAGATCACTTCTACATCCCACATCTTAGGGCACCCTAGGGAAGGGGGTGTAGCGTACTGATACACTAGAGGGATTATTCCGTGTTTCTCAGATCAGAGGCCTAGGGCCACAGTAGATTGTGTGACCCAGCCCATGCCCCAGCAGGCTGAAGCAACATCAGAAAGTCTCAGAATGTCCAGGGATGCACTTGACTTTGGGGTCTGGAAGTACGCTGTCCTGCTTCATTTGCCCTCCCCCCTGCCTAGAATGGGCCTATGTTGTTGGCAGGGTCACACACCATGTACAGGGGCAGAATTTCCTTACTGGTCCGTGTGTCCTGTGTCTTTCATCCAGTTGTCTGTCTCTCCTTTGTGTCATGTCTAGTGCCCTCAGCTTGCCATTTTGGAAGCAGCCTCCTTTCTCCTTTCTGACTATGCCCAGTCTTCCAAGCCAGCACTCCAAAGGACTCAAAGAATACATGTCTGTTTGGAGAAGAGAGAGAGAGAGATTCTGTTGAAAAATCCCCAAGTTTTCCCTCAACCCTGTATCTTGGGTGGTCTGAGAGCGTGGGCTGAATCCATTGATTCCCCTCCCCCCCCCCCCCCCCGAGGAAAAAACAGGGAGTTTGCTAACCAGAGCTGCTTGGCCAATCATTGCCCTGAGAAAGTTTGGATTGTGCTCCTGTTTCATTAGGCTGATTGGAGCAGCCTTGACTCGGAGGTAGAGTCCCTCCCCAAGGGATTCCGTGTACAATTACAAGGCTGTCGCTGCTGCCTGTGCGTGTCCTTTCAGGATAGCAACCCACTCTCTCCTCAACCCCCAGCTCCACCTCCTCCACCTTTTTTGCTTTTATCTAGTGTCTCCCTTGCTCTCTCTCTCTCTTTCCTCTCCCTCCTACCACTGCCTCTTCTTCCAGCCCTCCACTCTCCTGCAGCGCCAAGCCGGCTTCCCAACGCAGTTTGCTGAACGCAAACCACTGAGAGTTTGCAGCGCAAGCCCCTTGGGGCCCGGGGCCGCCGAGTCCCGCTAAGGCAGAGACACCAGCAGAGCGAGCGAGCGCAGCGGAAGACAAACACGCGGGCGCGCGAGGGGAGCCCCAGGAGGGCAGCCCGGTGGCGAGGCTTGGCAGGCGACTGTCACTACGTCCGGGGTCGCTACTCCCGCAGCGGACTGTGCGAGGAAGCGCGCTCCGAAAACTTCTAGACCGCAGGAGGCGGCGTCCCCACCAGTCCCCTCCTCTAGGCGCTCCAGGAAAAGGAACTTGATCTACTGGCCGGCTCGATCTGTTCCCTGAACGTGAGAGCAGATAGTGCCACCGGCCCCGGAGTGGGGAACCGCGAGGGGGAGCCGCGAGCCAGGCTGCAGGTGGAGGGCACCGGGCAGAGGCCAGGGACCCCGATGCCGGCGGCCAACATGATGGAGAACCTGCAGCTGCCCGCCCTGCAGGTGCCCGAGACGCAGGGCGCGACCGAGGGCAGCGCGGTGTGGTCCAGCTCGTCCACCCCTACGCTTCGCCGCCGGCGCTTTAAAATGCGCCGGATGAAGAACGTGCAAGAGCAGAGCCTGGAGGCCGGATTGGTAGTCCCGGACCTACCCAGCGTTCTGGCCCCAGGCAAGGAGTTCCTGCAGCTGCCGTCCATTGAGATTACGCCCTCCAGCGACGAGGATACCCCGTGGTCCAACTGCTCCACACCCAGCGCGTCCCCGCGCCGAAAGCGCTTCCTGCTCCGCAAGTGGCTGAGGGTGAGGGAGCGGAAGGAGTGCAGTGAGAGCAGGTAGGTCCCGGTTTCTATCTAGTAGTCTTCCCCGGCACCGGCTGCCCCTCTCGAGAGAGAGCCGTCCAGGGCCCCAGGGCATTCTGGTGGAAACTTCCGGGACCAAAGCTGAAGCTTCTCGCGTCACCAAGGGGTCTTCAGGAGCTGCTAGGGCACCAGAGCTAGAGGATTTGTCTCCACATCCCAGGACTAGGGACTTAATATCACTTGATAGGTTGGCATAGATTCATGCTGCGTTTCATCTCTTGATCCTCATAGCTCAAATGAACAATAAAATGGCATCAGTTAGCATTTGTTGGGCCCTTACTGTGTGCAGACTAGTGGGTGAGTGCTTCTCCCTGTCTCCAAATTCCATCCTCAGGGAAAACTCTAAGGTAAGGTAGATAGTACCATGATTCCGTTGAACAGATGGAGATGGTTGAGAGAAGTTAAGTGACGCCTCCTCGTGGATTTCCAAATTCCATTTCACTTTTGGTCGTTTTTCCTACACTAAGATGCCCTTACAGGTCCACATGCCTAGGCAGAGGTGGTGTATTCACCACACATCCTATCCTACCATGTCAGAGACGCATCTCTTTATCACCATGCCAGCTCCAGTTTTGCTAGGCAGGTGTTCGCTGTCCACATCCAAGAACTGGTGTGAGGCTCGCAGGGTAATTAACTCCAGAAGCCTTGGTGGGATACTCCTTCAAGAAGTTGTCCCTGGTGGCACGGAGTCCCTACTACTCACAGGTGCCACGCCCCACTCCCCATTTGCTTTTGGGCTCAGGGGCTATGATTGTGCTGTTGGGTGGTGGTGGTAACTAAGTTATGAATCACTTAATGTGGATCATTCACGCTACTGGTTCACTTTCACTCATTTTCACTTAGGAAGCGTTTATTGAGTGGGTCTCAAGGGCTCGAGTGTGGCAGCCGTCAGTGGGGGTGATATTGAGAAGGGTTTCCAGGATGCGAAGGGGTGGGGAAGCTAAGCATGGTGGGACACTAATACAAAAAAATCTGCCTAACACACGGGCACCTCCGGCACCTCCTAAATACATAAATAAATAAATAAATCTGCGTGACTCCTGCTTGTAATCCCAGACCTAGAGAAATGGAAGCAGGAGGATCCTTGGAGTTTGAAATATGCCTGGGTTAGATGGAAAGGATGGCGTCTCAAAAAACCGAAACCTAAATGAAACAAAACAAAAACAAACCAACGCACCATACAGCAAAAAGAAGTTGAGACATGCAAGTTTCATTCCCATCAAAGAGAGGGAGCCCTTGGGAGATTTACACTATAGCACCTATAGTGGTTGTATAAGAAAAGAGAAGCTTGGAAACCGAAGGAGAAGGCCTGGAAGGGAGAGGCTCAAACCACACCAAATGCAGATAGGAAAAAGAAAACATCAAGGCACACATGAAATCAGGTGCGTAAGATGGACTAAAGGAGCATACGGTACAAGAAGAAACAAGGGTGTGTGATGTGTCTTCGTGGTGCTGAGGGCTAGGGTTGGGTTATGCAGGGTCTTCCTGGCTTCTTCCATTGGTTCACCATGAACTGTCTGTCCTGTTTGCAATGACTGTACAAGTTCTCCCACTTATGGGCCTTGGGGGCAACAGGTCTTTCTTTTCCGGCATTCTACCCTGTTGCCTTTTCCACAGAGCAGAGGGGAGTGATGATTGATGGGGGATAATCCCAAACTAAGCCACTTTTTCCTCAAACATGAGAGACTCGGAAAGAGGCATTGACATTCTGCCACATCTGTTGAAGACAAAATGTAGAGGAGAGAGCCATTTATTACTGGCTAACACAGGCAGGTGGAGCTGAGCGAATGTAAGGAAAATGTTTCTGATTTTGAGTTATCTAAAGGTGTGGTGCAATATTATTTTTTAATTGAAGTAGGAAGGATAGTCTTAAAATAGAAGGGCTATTTTACGTCCTAGGTATAACTTAAGACAGTTTTGTTTAATGTGCTGGCTTATTGAGTTGGAAGAAAATTGTATCTTCTCATCCTTTGGTATCTATGGAGGTTGGTTACAGGTCTTTTTGTAGTCACCAAGTTCCTTATATAAAGTCGCATAGCATTTGTATATAACCCATACATATTTCCCATAGATGTACTCTCTCTCTCTCTCCCTCTTTCTTTCTCTCTCTCTCTCTCTCTCTCTCTCTCTCTCTCTCTCTGTCTCTCTCTCTCCTGTGTGTGTGTGTGTGTGTGTGTGTGTGTGTGTGTGTGATATGTATGCATGTACATGTGGAGGTCAGAGGACAACCTTAAGAAATTGGTTCTATTCTCATACTATGAGGATTCCAGAAATTGAACTCAGGTCTTCAGGCTTAGTGGCAAGTGTCTTTACTGGCTGATCCATTTTGATGGCCTATTTTTTCATACACTTTAAATAATCCCCAGGTACCTATCGCATTGTAGAAAGCAAGGATAGGAAATGAAGTCTGTTTTGTATGTACATGGAGGCGCATGTCTGTAATCCAAGCATTCAGGAGGGCAGAGCAAGATGATTGGTAATTCAAGGTCAGCCAGGACTATATAGTAAGATCTGCTCTAAAAAAGAAGTCTATACATGTTCAGCATAGATAGTTTTCTGAATTCTTTCTATCTCTAATTGGTTGATCTGTAGATACAGAACTTAGAGATACAGAAGGCCAACTGCATATGTAGAAAAAGGCAGACTGAGCTGGGGGTGTAGGTCATCCTTGGTGGATTTGAGACCAGCCTGGACTAAATGATGTAAATAAACAAACAAACACTACAAAGTAAGAGCCAAATTCAAACAAATCAGCACAGCATGGAATACTTGTCCATTCTGAGTTTTCACTGCCTAGTAACTGCCCCCTTGTGGTGGCCCGAAGATGCTCATCGATGATGATAAATCAGTAATGAGTAAATCTCTTTCCTCTTTCTTAAAGTGAAAGTCTCCTTATTCACAAGTCTGAGAATTTTGGGGGGAAGGGGGATAAGTCCAGAGCTGAGACTTAAAAAAAACATGTTTATTGAAATATGATTTAGAACAGTTGGGTGGGGGTGGCCCTCATCTTTGATCTCAGCATTCAGAAGGCAGAGGCAGGCAGATCTCTGTGGATTCAAGGCCAGCCTGACCTACAAAGTGAGTTCCAGGACAGCTAGGGCTGCACAGAGGTATTCTGTTTCGAAAAATTGAAAAAAATAGAAGAAATAAGAAAGAAAAAGAAATATGATCCAAATACCACACACACAATTTATCTTTAAATCCTTCTGGGTTTAGAGCTGAGTGTCTAGCTCAGTCGTAGAGTATTTGCAGAACATGCACAAGACCCTGTGGGAAAAAAGTATTTTTTTTGGTTTTATGAGACAGGGTTTCTCTGTATTGTTTTGGAGGCTGTTGGTCCAGCCCAGCCTCGAACTTACAGAGATCTGCCTGCTTCTGCCTCCCGAGTGCTGGGATTAAAGGTGTGCGCCACCACCGCCCGGCTGGAAAAAAAGTATTTAATGCCAGACTGGAAAAGTATTTAATCCAATTCTTTATATTGATAGATGTGTGCACACACCCCCACAGTTAATTTTAAAACACTCATTGTCAACACACACACAAACACACAAGCACACATACATAGCCGTACCTTTTAACTAGCACCCTCAAGCCTTCAACCCCCCATGTGGATCACCAGCATTAGATACACAGTAGTCTGCTTTTTATAGAAGGCTGAGTTTAAAAAACCAAATGTCTATTGAGGTTGGACGTGGATGCGTACCATACTGTCTTCTGTTACTATAACAAAATCCTTGAGACTAGATAATTTCATCTATTTATTCAGCCACTTATTTATTTATCAAGACAGGGGTCTCAAGTATCCAAGCTTGGCCTTTATATGGATCAAGTGATCCTCCTGCCTCTACTTCCAAATGCCGAGATTACAAGTGTGTGTCGTGACTGGCTTTAGTTTCTTCATATACCAAGTGGAACCAACTTAGTGGGAGTTATGCAGGTTCTGAACAATGGATAACACAGTGGGACAAGCTTTTAGAATCAGTACTGACCCAAACCAACGACAACAATAAAGTATAAAGAAAAGAATTAATGCCTGCATGTGTTCCCAAATCACCTGGTCAAAAATGATTGGGGTTAATTGTTTAAAACCCAAACTGAGCATCAGCGTCTCCTGTGGCCTCCTGAATTCTGGGAGAAAGTCAGAAGTTGGGCAAAACCATGTCTCCTAAGACGCATCTTATGGAAGAAGGAAAACTGACAAGGGACAGGGGAACTGGGCCGTGGCCAACTGCAGCCTGTCTTCTGGAGGGCACAAAAGAATCTCCTTGCTCTTCTGCTTTGAGCATGCCTTAGCTGTCACCTTGTGTGCCCTCTCTCTCAGCCATTCTGCACTCCTTGCTGTAGGACATCCCTACCCTGTACCAGTTGCTCACAGTCTAGCGGGCTAGCTGCTAGAGAGAAATCTTTCTGTTTGACTGCATCTGACCTTTGGTAATGGTACCCGCCAGTTCTGCCCAGTCTGGTGTGTTAGGCTACGTCTCTGGTGCCAGGATAGCTGGTTGGTTGTTTTCAGGCCAATGTCCTTGATAATGTTTGTCTTGACCCTCCGTTGCTTCCTCTGATAGTTGGAGGGAGATTTGCTTCAAACTTCAGGTAGCTGGCAGGGAGCAGGGTGAGTTTGGACATCTAGACACTCTACTCAGCCACACTCTGCCTGGTTCTTATTTCTGTAGTCAGCTATTCAGTGTTTGCCCTTGCATCTGTCTTTAAAACAAAGCAACAAATCCATGTAAAGGAGGCTGTGAACGGTTAGCATACAGAGTAAGCAGGAAAGGGTTAAGGAGCAAAGACTTCTACCAGTCCCAGAATTCCTTGAGGCAGCAAGTAAGTCTTACTTTGTGCCAAGTGTCCTGTTAAGTGTCTTAAATTTGTGATCGATGTTAATCCTCACAGCAAGCCCCCTGAGGTAGGCTTCACGGGGAGGACCTGCAATAGAAGAGATTAACTTGTTCCTGGTCTACCATAAGCAAGGC